TGTAGTAAAGCCTGATCTAGGTATGCATTATTGTACTTGCCAAAATCTTAAGTAGTTATTTTGTCTGTTCCTTTGCTTTTTTTTTTTTTTGGTGGCCATACTTGATGGTGCTCAGGAGCTATTCCTGTATCTGTGCTCAGGACTGACCCAGGATGGTGCTTAGAGGAAAATATGTAGTGACAGGAATCAAACCAGAGTTGGTCACATGTAAGATAAGTGCCTTAACACATGTACTATCTCTCTGGCCCCTGTAGTAATATTTGGAGGGTTTGGGTGACACCTGGACATGCCCAGGGGCTATTCCTGTCTCTGTGTTCAAGAGTAATTCCTGGCAGAGCTTGGTTGGTTCAAATGTGGTAGCAGGGATTTGAACCAGGGTCGCAGCCACTGCAGCTGCATGCAAGTGCCGGATCACCTGTACCATTTCTTAGGCTCCACAATACTGTTACTATTGGAATTTTGTAGATGAAGAAACTGAGGCACGAAGATGGTAGACAACAATTCCAGGACCACAAAACTAATAAATAGAAAGAAATACAGCAGAAACTGGGCATGAACATTATTAGTTAAACCAACAGGTTAGTCTTATTTCTGTTTCAAAGAGAGATTATATCTTATTCACTCCAGCGAACATAAGTAAATTTACTGACCGATGTTTTGTTCATTAATTTTGTTGAACATTATCAGGGTGCAAAATAATGACTAAAAGGCTTTGAGGTATGGAATTTGTCAAAGAAAGATAGGGTTCTTCCCTTCAAAAGAAGTCAAAAGTTAGTAGGAAAGCAGACTGAGAAACAGCGAGGTGCAGTACAAGTAAAATACAACAAGAGCTTTAATGGTGCCATAAACAAAGTGCTCGTAGATCCAGTCATGAACAACATATTTCAAAATAATAAGAAAAATTTTGGTTAAAAATTTTACCTTTGGATGTTAGTGGCTCACACCACAGCTTCTTCCTGACTTGCTTGCAGCTCTACCACTCCAGGTGCGATTTGCCTCTGGCTAACATCATCGGTTCTACTCTGCAACAAAAGCAGAAACCCTCATTTCCAGCTAGATACCAGAAGTTTTCACACCCAACCTGTACTGTATTAAGGACCACATCAAAACTACTCAATAAATTACATGCTGCTCACGGTTGTGCTTCTTGTCATTTGGTGAGATGGCAGAGAAGAGAATAATCTCTAACCTAATCCCTTAGTATCTCCCAGGGCCTCTAACTACAAAGATTCACCCCCAAATACAACAAGAATACTGGAAAACCAATGGGAAACCTATAAACACATAGAAGCCCACTAAGTACAATGAATAAAAATAATCTCACTGGATACATAAACAACAACAACCAGCTCAGTAAATCCTCCACCAATGACTTTAGTGACACCATGTTAAGGATGTTGAATGAACTCAAAGAAACCATGACATAGGTATCAAAGCACTAGAAAGTATAGGAATTGAAATGAAAAAAATTACTACAATCAGAAATGATAGGAATGAAGAACCTGGTCACGGTCCTCCCGTTGTTCAACGATTTGCTCGAGTGGGCCCAGTAACGTCTCTATCATGAGACTTGTTGTTACTGTGTTTGGCATACCGAATACGTCACGGGTAGCTTGCCAGGCTCTGCCGTGCGGGCGAGATACTCTCGGTAGTTTGCCGGGCTCTCCGAGAGGGGTGGAGGAATCGAACTCGGGTTGGCCATGTTGGCCGCTTGTAAGGCAAACGCCCTACCGCTGTGCTATCGCTCCAGAAATGATAGGAATGAAGAACCTGGTGGCTGATATAAAAAATTCAACAGAAGCTCTGAATAAAAGAATAACAAAAGCTGAGCAAAAAATCAAGGAGCAACAAGATAAGATCAGTTTAGTGGTGGGGGTATGGTGCCGCCAGCAGTCAACCTGTGAGGCGACTGCATCAGCAGCCTGATGGCACCTTCAGACTTCTAAATACCCCAAAATTGCTGCTGTGCCTTTGGCCAGACCCCAAAAATTTGGGGCAAAGTTTACCAAGAAGGAAAACGGCCAAAAGTTAGGTATGTGGAAGACACATCCACAAACCACTTCGGGCTCAGCTATATAATTGGAGGCATGGCCTCTCTGGTTCCTGATTGAACTGCTTAATGGCCATGATCCCAGAGACTCAGAAACAAATCTCAAAACTCAACAGCTTTTGGCAGAAATGCGTCTGGTCCCTGCAGTAAGTTACTGGCGCTGAGTCAACCCAGGTGGGAATAGGTTTCGTGCCTTGGTCTGTTCCCCCTGGCGGCCTGGTGGCCGCCACCCTCCAGAGACCACTGGACAGTCAGGTTTGGACCCGCCGTGACAAGACACGTGGGGCCTCACGGGATGGGGGTGGAGTCGGTCCTTTCCTTCCCACTCCAAAGAGACCCCGAGTCGCCGCCCACGAATGGCCTCTCTGGCTCCTGATCAAGCTGCTTAACGGCCATGATCCCAGAGACTCAGAAACAAATCTTGGAACCCAGTGGCTTTTGGCAGAAATGCAACCGGACCCATGGTAGGTTAGTGTCTCCGGGTCACCCCAGGGGAGAAAGGGTGTTGTCCCTCCGCCTGCTCCCCCTAGGCTTCTCAGTGACTGCCATCCTCCAGAGGCCATTGGACAATCAGGTTTGGGCCCTCAGTGATGAGACACACAGGGCCACATGAGATGGGGGTGGAGCTGGCCCTTTCCTCCCCATCCCAACGAGACCCCAAGTCGCCGCCCATGAATGGCCTTTCTGGCTACTGATCAAGCTGCTTAATGGCCATAATCACAGAGACTCAGTAACAAATCTCAGAACCCAGCAGGTTTTGGTAGAAATCCCTCCAGATTTAAGTGTTAAAACTTGGGAATTTCAAAATCGCGCGGCCATTACTACAGCCATGCAACATCGTATGTTATTCTTAACCAGCAGTAGAAAACAAATTGTCTACTGTTGCCTTTTCAGCAGATCTGAGTGTTAGGGTAAAATCCCAAATAATAATGGTGGGTCTGGTGTCAAGATATTGAATGTGATCAAAGTAGAGAGAGAGTAATGTGGAAATCATCTGCCCCACAGGTAGGCGGAGGGTGTTGGATGAATGGTATACTGGGGTTTTTGGGGGTGGAGAATGAGCACTGGTGAAGGTATGGGTGTTTCATTGTATGACTGAGACTTAAACCCGAAAGCTTTGTAACTGCTCTCATGGTGATTCAATAAATAAAATTATAAGAAATGGGAAAAAAAATGTAAGGTGGAATTTATGCTCAATTCAATCAGCTAATCAGTGGCTGAATAAATAGCAGTACTCCTACATAAAAAAAAGATCATATTAGTGGGCTGACTACATGATTTGCATGTAGGAGGCCTGTATTTGATCCCTGACAGAGTGTGGTCCTCTGAGCACTGCCAGGAATAGCCCTCTGAGCACCACATCAGCAGTGGTTCTTTAGCACAGAGCTGAGAGTAGCCCCTGACTACCTCAGGATATGGTCCAAAGCAAAAATAAATAGGAACCAGAGAAATAGTGCATTGGGTAAGAGACTTGCTTGTGTACAAACTACCCTAATTTGATCTCGTGATGTGTCCCAGTGGTCGACACCTGCCTGGTAGTGTGTGGCTCTAAGTTCCATTCCTAGTGCCAAGTGTAGTCTCCAACACTGCCAGGGTGTTTTCCAGTACTTCATAATCAATGTGTGAGCCTGAATCTTGAAACAACAACAACAAAAGGTAGGGGAATGAGAAAAAATAATAAATGAATAAACTTTTAAAAACTTATCTTTGAGTTGAACTTTAGTGGATGAGGAGAAATTTGAGAAGTCGGGAAGTGAATAAAAGACAGTCCAGGCAAAAGAAGTGCATGGGCATATGCTCACACTTAGTCACTGTTGACTCACTAACCTTGGTGCAGAGCTTGTTCCTGGAAGAGCAAGGAGTTTAGAAGTCTGGGGTTTCTATGTCTTATGGGATCTGAGAAGTCCTAATTTGGTATAGAAGAGTAGAAAGGCAAAACTGTACAATCTTGGAGTTAAAGGGTCCCTGAGGACCATCTCTTCCAATAGCCTATCCAATTTGTAAATCTCTAAAGCTGTCCTACCAAGTGACCATCAACACTAGCTCATGAACTTCAAGAAACAAAGATGTCAATATCTCCTGAAGCAGCTGGTCCCATCACTTTCTAAAATTATAATGCTCATTTATTTATTTGCTTATTATCTGTTCCTCATAGTATAATTAAAGCTCCCTACAGGCAGGGACACTATTGTTTATCTGGTATCTGCCTAGCACAGAGCAGGAGTACAGTAAATTTTTGTTGAAATTGATGCATTCCATCCAGGATAATTGACACTTATAAAGCTTTCAAGCAATTTCTACAATACAGTATTTAATATACATGAAGCCAGTTATAGTATCCCTTAAAATTTTTCCCAGGTTAAATATCTTCAGTTGGTCAATGATTCTTTATTAGACAAAATGTTGGAAATCATCACTGTCCTGATTAAACTCTATTATATTTGTCTCTATTTGTCATTCAACTCTATTTGTCTGTTTATGTATATTTCTGTTTATGTATTGTTACAAGAACTGAAGTCAGTACCCCAATTTCATGATACCCTCCAGACAGTCCTGATCTCCTCTCTTTTTCTAGGTTATAGATTGTGACCTACAACTGCTTCACTTGCTTGCTGCACACTTTACCTGGCTAGCAACAATTATTCCTTAAAGTGTTCACCAAGTACCCCTTTGCCCATTCCCTCTTGTCCTGCTATGTTCATTGCACTGTTTGCTCTCATCTCTCTTGTCTTAATTAGTGCAGATAAATATTGAAAACTAAGGCAAAGGAGGCTATAACAATAACATAGGTCAAAAGACACGAGGTACTGAACTGTGTGTCCAGAAAGAAGAGAAAAGAGAAACACATTAGATTTCATGAGTAGAAGCTGCATTTCACTGATTTAGTGACTACCAGCACACTTTTTCAAGCGGTCCCTCTCCTTCTAGACAACTTAAGAATTGGGAATTATACCAGAGTGTTGAGTCTAATTCAGGGCTGCTTCCCTGTTTGGTTATTAAACTTTGGGACATTAAGAAATGAACTGAGGGAGATGATTGAGTAGAAGGCATTTCTCTATTCATTTTCTTCTAGACTGTAGCACTGTCCTCCCATTGTTCATCAATTTGTTCAAGCAGGCACCAGTAACGTCTCACAACAAATTGCAAGATTTGTTGTTACTGTTTTTGGCATATCGAATATGTCACGGGTAGCTTGCCAGGCTTTGCCACGCAGGCAAGATACTCTCGGTAGCTTGCCGGGCTCTCCGAGAGGGGTGGAGGAATTGAACCTGGGATGGCTGCAATGCAAGGCAAACACCCATCCACTGTGCTATTGCTCCAGTCCTTCTCCTAGACTAGAAGGGGAAAAAAGAGAATTAGGAGCTATTTCCCAACTTCTACCTACTTCACTGCCTCTGAAGCAAGCATATAACTCTTTTAAAGACACACACACACACACACACACACTCACACACACAAAATCTCACAACTCTTCCCCCCTATGTACTCTATAGAAACATACTTGGGGAAAGTAAATGGCAGCAAGATATCGAATTGTATAGCTGAGAAAAAGATGGGTCTATGAACTATTTTAAGAAATTCAGGTATAGACTTTAAGATAATGAAGCATTTGTCTTTGGATATATTGAATTTGAAGGTCTGTGGATATATAGATGCAGTTGGACCTTTTTTAGTACTTTGACTTTGAAACACAGAGCTGAAATGTAGATTTGTGAGTCATCAACAGAGGTACTTGAAGAAGCTCTCACCAGAGAATAAAAATGTTGAAGATCTTGTAGACTGAAGAAAAGGTCATGACTAAGAATAAAAACGTTAACAATAGCCATATATCGTGGGTAGATGGTGGAGGAAATCTCCTAGAAGGAGTGACAAGAGTTCCCAGAAGGTATGAGAAGAACTTGATGAGTTTAATGTTCAAACAGTCAAAACTGCTCTTATTGCAGTAAGAAGAGAAATCAGTAGCATCAAATGCAACAGAAAGTTCTTGGAGAACAAAAATAGTTAAGATGTCACTGAGTTCATTAATGAAGAAGTAGTTTGATAACCCTAGAGTTAAAAGTTCAGTGAACTTGGAGCCAGGTGCAAGTTGTTAAGGAATAAATTAGGGACAAAATTATAGCAATGAAGTCAAAGGAGTAAATGTTTGACTCTACTTTGAGAGGCATGGAAAGTGAATATACACACAAAAGAAACAAATCCATATGATATTTTAGATGGTTTGCATAGTCTAAAATAGCCTGTGGTTAGTTATCACTTCATTATTTCTTACTGATTCACAAATTAGGCAGTTTGCAGGTCTGTTAATTGAAGATACCAAATATTCAATAGACCACAGTATTTGAAAAAAGAGAAAAATAGAGATAGATTTTTAATGGATAGATTTATCGAATCAAAGTTGGGCTTTGATTCAAAAACATGTCTTTTCTTGCCATTCCTTTCATCTAACATTCAATTGTTAGATGTCCAGTAATTTTCTTTGAGATTTGTTCTTACCAAACTGCCTTAGCTGCATTACAGATAAAAACTCTTAGACTTCCACATAGTCTGTTGGATTTACTCCTAGGTTTGGTGATTTTATCACCATCCCATTATCAACACCCCTTCTAAATTCTCTTTTTTATCCTTAGGGGCATGAACTTCTGGAAAGATCCCATTTTCTCCATCCAGGGGCCTCCATCACATTCGGACTCATAGAATGTTGCTTTTTGAAGTGACTTTATGTGTAGGATAACATTGCCACAGGGAGCTTAGGTTTATCGGTTACACCCATCACAGTGCTCACTAGTCACTCCCATTCCTCTGTTTATCTGTAAACTCTTCCTTCTCTGTGCTCTCCTCCTCAGCCAGTTAATCACCTTTTCTCCCTAATCAGATTCTGTTAGCTTGTAAGATCATATCCTTCTAAGACACTGAACTTGTATTGTAAGTTATGTCTTTTGCATAGTTTACCTTAAAGCAATGTCCTTTCTGTATGGACACACGAAGACAGTAAATATTATGCTTTGTAACTTGGGAGTTGATTAACTCCAAATAATATTTACTCCGGGCATCTGCTTTCTTGACTCAGTTCCCTTAGTTCCTAGCACTCCAAAAGCAGGGTCCCAACGAGGGACTGAATGAACCCAGGACAAGCTGTGAGCTACCTGGCATCGAAATGGGCCAGGTCAAAGCACCATGATACTCAAGTATAAGTTGAGGGGATGATCATGGACAAATGCTGTCATTATCCAAAAGTAAGTAACGACGAGACTAGGACCTTGCTGGAGCTAGGAAGACTAACCTGGCCTGAGGACTGCGGAATATATAGTGAGATGTCCTCAGGAAGAACCAAACTGTAAGTTTATATCTCTTACTGTGCTCATACAGAATGACATTGCTAGAAATATTGGAAGTAGATTTACTACAACTATTTAAGTAGATTCCTACTGAGGAAAGAACACACCCTTGTTGGGATCCCACCTTTAAGCAGATCTCCCAGTAATCTGGAATAATCTCTTTAGATGATATTTTATCCTTGAGTTAATCTCTTTAAGGAGCGGTCTTACCTCTTTGTTGATTTGTTAATGTTCAACCCACCTTTGTGTCACCACCCTAAGGCTCAGGCTCAGGCTCTAGCTTGGGCTCTGGCTCGGGCTCCAGCTCCAGAGGGCAGAGTCAGAGGTGAGAGGGGCTCTGGCTTGAGAGAGAGAAGCAGAAGGGGAGTGAAGATTGGAATAAACGACAATTGAGACCCACCAGCCTGGCCCTCGTTTCCTTCCTTCGCCTGCCCATTGCCATCGACCTCCCCGGGGTGGGGGAAGTGACGTGGGAGAGACAGGGCGCCGCTGGACTTCTGAACACACACATTTATGGTTCTGGCTCATTTTTCTCAACTTCTATTAACAGATAAAATCAGAGCGGGAAAGAGGCTTGCTTGAGGAAGCATTAGCACATGACTGAAGTTTTGTCTTTAGAGTCAGTTGTGACTAAATCTTGTCTTCATTATTACCTAATTGTATGATATTAGGTTAGGCTATTCACATTCCAAACTTTAGTTTTCCATTTTAATTAAACGGTTCATTGGGCTGGAAAGATAGCTAAATGGGCTGGAGATTTTACCGAAAGTGGGAACCCCAAGATCAATCCTCAGCACCACGTTGTTCTAGAAAGAACCCCCAAATACCCTGGAGTAGCCCCTGACCACCACCAAGTGCAAAGCAAAAACAAACTAGTAGGGCTAATAAAAGTACCTACTGAGTTCCTGGATAAGTAGTAGTAGAAACTAAAAAAAAAAATGTTGACTTCTTCCCTTTGCTCAGTGTTTCAGAGCTAATGTGACAGTTAGAAGACTCAAAACAAACTCAGTTGTGGCGGGGGCACCTTGAAAGTGGGCTGGGAGGGTGAGGGGACACACTGTAGAGGGCGTAGTCTCAGAATATTGTATACGCAAAACCCTATGGTGGAACTGTATTGTAAATCACAGTGCCTACACTTAAACAACACAAGACCACTAAAATTCAGTTCTTATGACTTCTAGGCCAAGCCCCAGGCTCTAACGCTAGAGTTGCACATTATCCTGAAGTGTTGTTGCAAAAGCAACAAGAGGAACATTGTGACCATTCCTTTAACCAAGAGATATAAAATGCATCACTGTCAACCTCATATGTAGTGCCAATAAAATTTTACATTTTGTGATTTAAAAGATTTAAGTGGGGGGATAGCTTAATGCATGATTTATGGATAAAGGTAAAGGTAAAGGCCCTCCCGTTGATCGTCGATTTGCTCGAGCGGGCCCAGTAACGTCTCCATTGGAGACTTTGTTGTTACTGTGTCTGGCATATCAAATACTCTCGGTAGCTTGCCGGGCTCTCCGAGAGGGGCGGAGGAATCGAACTCGGGTCGGCCATGTTGGCCGCGTGTAAGGCGAACGCCCTACCCGCTGTGCTATCGCTCCAGCAATTTATGGATAAAGACCTAGATTTGGTCCCTAGTACTGCATGGTGCCCTAAGCACTGCCAGGAACAACCCTGAAATTCTGGGACAAGAGTAATCTCTGAGCTCTATTAGGTATGGGCCACAAACCAAAATAAATAAAAAATTAAAAGTGATTAAAATTTGTGATAATAGAGCCTGTTTTGCTCAAATAACAATTGCTTTTGTGACCTAAGTGCAAAATAGTGCAAAATAGTCTTTTCAACGAAGACTATTTTTCTTCAGACCATAAGAGAGTTAAACCTACAATTTACCATCATGCAAATATTTCAGTGGAAAAATGACAGGAGAATTGAGAAAAGATTTAATCACACTTAATCACTCAACTTCCTGTTAGTCGTCGATTTGTTCAAGCGGGCGCCAGTAATGTCTCCATTTGTCCCTGTCGCGTGCTAGTGTAGCCCAATGGCATCTGTTCGCTCCGGGAACATGAAGGGCCTCAAACCGATCGTTCATGATCTTGACGAAGAAGTCTGACCATCTGGAAGGTGGGCGGCCACGCGGTCTTTTGACATCCCGTGGAATCCAGTCGGTAACAGCTCTAGTCCAGCGGTCGTCTTTAAATCTCATTACGTGACCAGCCCATCTGATTTTCGACACCTTGGCAAATGAGACAGCGTCCCTGATTCTTGATCGTCGACGGATGTCAGAACTCCGGATTCGTTCTCTCATTTGAGTGAAACGTGATATTCCAAGCATAGCTCTTTCTATTCTTCTTTGGGAGACCTGAATGGCGTTCTCATCTTGTTTGCGGAGGGCCCAGGTCTCTGAGGCATATGTTAATGCAGGAAGAACAGTGGAATCAAAGAGATGTGCCCGGAGCCGGAGGTTCTTCATCCTCTTAGCTATTTCTTCGACGTTCTTGAAGGCGAAGAAATAGATCAGTAACTACAACTGGTCTCATTCACCTGAGAAAAGATTTACAACATAAAAAATATGTGATACTAAGTTAAAGTCTGTGCAGAAAGTAAGATTAAAAATAAAAGTTCAGGGGCTGGAGCGATAGTACAGTGGGTACAGTGTTTGCCTTGTGCACGGCCGACCCAGGTTTGATTCCCAGCATCCCATATGGTCCCCTGAGCACCATCAAGAGTAATTCCTGACTGCGAA